GTGTTATTTTAGGCACATGTAGTCATGCCTCTGAAAGTGAACTTTAATTGTGGCGCTTTCTCCTGTTTAATCGGAGATTAATCCTCCTTCTTGTCACCCGCGTGTCCTTGGGGGTCCTCGCGCCCAGACGCCTCTTGGCTAGGTGAGGCACAGCGAGGAGAGCAGGCGTGCTGTTTAACGCTGGGAGGAAGTCTGGCTGTGGTCTGGTCCTGGAGTGGCTGAAACGTACCAACTCCAGTTTGAATTCGGGAGCCCGCAAGAAGAGGGGTAGGGGTGTAAGCAGACTGCAGAAAATCAAAGCTGAGTGGCCCTCCATCCATCCATCCATCCATCCATCCATCCGCCGGTATTCTCTGTTTCAAATCTGTGGATATCCTGTATCATACGTTTAGAAGGTTCCTGTGTGACACAATGTCATTGTCAAACACTGCTGGGCAGATGTGCGGCCCTTTTCCAGCAGGTAACACGCCTTTCCCCGTGTGACATGACAGGGCTCAGTGTGTCCACGTGTGTGTCCGCGTTTTCAGGCCACCGACGTTTCCTGCCATTACCATACACTTCTATACATCCCCCCCCCCCCCCCCCCGCATTAGCTAGCCGCAGCCCATTAGCACGGAGACGGCGGTGCTGCTGTTATAAATAGCGGCGTGCAGTGGGGCTCACGCCCCCAGCTCCCTTATTTAGACATTCGGCATCGCTCCTGATGTGCCTCTTAGTCTCTGTGCTTCCCCAGAAGTTTTCTTTGAGTGGGGTAACGAGAGGAGCCGCCGTCTTGGGGGGGCGGCGGGGGGGGATTTCTGTAAGGTTTTTGAAACTGTGCAGTGCTGGGGTGGGCGGGGGGGGATGTGGTGGATACATTTGCCCAGAATGCTAATGATCTTTGAATAATGGGGATTTAGGAAGCGTTTCTCTCTTGCCGTCCACGGCAAACGAGGTGCCGTGCTGTGTGAAAACTGACCTCAGATCAGTCACACTGTGTGGGTTTACATGTAGGCCTGGTCACAGGCGCTGACCACGTGTCATTTTTCCTGTTCCCAGCACACCCCCATCCCACCCAGCATGCCTATTAATAATCTGCCGCTGGTTGACACAGATCCAGATATTAAAGGCATATGAAACCTATGCAGCATCGCACCCTTTTACATGTTTATCAGCTTTAGCTGTTCAGCTCCGATTTGCACTCTGCATTTATACAGTTGATTTTTTCCCCCCTGGTTTTTACAAGGTCTTTCTAAATGTGTCTGTTCATTAGGTGGCTTCACTTTAAATTGTTTCCCCTCTGGGGGGGGGGTCAGCAGTAAAGGTTTTCGAAGATAAAAAATTGAGTTTAATAGAACGGTACAGGCTGTCTGTATATGAAAATTAGCACATGGCTACTTTTTTGGAGGATAGACAGTATTTTATGTGCTGGAATCTGTATTGGTATCTTACCCACTTTGTTCTACTTTCACTTCACACCAGTACATCCCCTTAATGTTCCTGCCTCCCAGTTTCTTAGCGAATGGTCCAGCGGTGCTGGGAGACTCTGTTTTAGTGGCATTTCAGGCCCTGGCTGTCCTGCTCCAAGCCTGTCAGACGTTAACTGCTCCGTGATCACATGCACACCTCTGGCAGTAGAGAATTTGTGAACTCTAACTCCATCCTACCTATTTGTGTGCGTATGTGTGTGTTTCCATGCTATAAAAAAATGCATATATGCTTTAGACGTAGTGACAGGAATGTGCCGTTTCACAAAAGCAACAAATCTGTGCCAATTTATTCTTGAACTTTGTCATCCTAAGTAAATTCCCAATCATAAGCCATTAGCTGATACTGATGTAATTATATCTCTTAGGAATGCTAACAACTGTCTTTCAGAGGTAGGTTCTTTCTCATTTAAAGGCTCGTTTAAAGTGCAAACAGCGTTTCAGCGTTTCCCAAGCCCACTGCGAGCGTAATGACCCTCTGTACGGTAAAGGTGGCGTGTTGCCGCCTCAGTGCCAACGCCCCCCAGTCCTCCATCATCCTGTCAGGCGTGCTAAGGACCCAGGAGTGATTCGCCAGCGTGCTAAAGTAAGCGAGCTCTAAGTCTAACTCCCGTTAAAAAAGAAAAAAGGAGAGATTTCACACGTAGAGAGAGGTCTGCGGAACGTCACGGCCGACCTCTGCTCTCCAAAGTGCTTGACAGTGACAGGCAAATAAACCCCCCCCCCCTTTATAAACTGTCATCTGCTCTTAGGGAGATCCAAGGGCCTGCTACAGCGAAGCCCTCTCCCCCTGCTTTTCGTTAAAGGGGCTTTCCCGTTATTCACACAGATGCCACCCCCACTCTGTCCCCCCACGTCAGTCAGATTGACTTGGTTCTCCCTGTCATCTCTGTTCAGTGACACTTCAGAGCCGGAAACAGCGAGAGGAGCTCAGCCCGTTAGCCCACATTTTGGAGAGCTTTTCACCCCCACCCACCCCGTCAGATACCGTGTTGCTCAGAAAAAGGATTCAGATGTGTCAATCGCTCCCTTATGCCGTGCTCTCCGGTCTTGCTAGCGGTAAACATTTTGCCTGAGGAGTTGGTCTGCCTCTTGTCCATTCTGCTTGAGCTGCTTCTTTTTGCCATGTTGTGAGCATAGTCGGTGCCACCAGCGTGATGAACCACATCCTCCACAGCCAACGAAGGGGAACAGCAAGGAGGTTGGGGTTCCCTGCCGGCCAATCAGCGGCCTGGTTCACCGGCCAACAAATGGCTTGTCCTTTTGTCCTGGCCCACCAGCTAATCTGATTCACCCAGAAAAAGTCTGGGGTTTCCCCATATTAGCCTGGTGCTTTTGGTGAGGTTATAAGGCCTGGGTTATTGCCTGTGGTACCTGCAGCACAGAGCCCTATAGAACCTAAACGTACCGAGTGAGAAGTCAGCACCAGTGCTGTCAGCGTGTCAGGCTGTTTCTCGCTCAGGGTATTTGTGTTGTAAGTGTGTGACAGCAGTCGGCGGGTGAAGCGTGAGAGTGACGCCTCACTTAGGGTGCCGCGGGCTGAGGCGGCCCGGGAGCCGAGCTCTGGTGCCGAGTCGGGCCGCTTCTCCCGGAAGCGCGTGTCATTGGTGAGAGCCTCACGCTGGGCCGATGGGCCGCCCGCGTTCAGCCGGGGAGCGAGAGGAGAGCACCCGTCAGCGTGCCGGTCCGTCCGTCAGCCCGACGGCGAGTCCGTCAGCGGCCGCGTCCGGCTCCCGGGGTGCAGGTGTAACCACGGCGACGGGGTGCCAGGTGTCAAACATTGTAAACGCGCGGCATGAGCCGCTGTCCCGGCACAGCAGGACCTGTCACGCCGGCGTCCCGCGGGGCCTGGCTGTGCGTGTACCCCCTGATCGGGCTTTGGTCCCGCTCTCCAGGTCACGCCTTTCAGCTACTGTCTTTCAGTGAGATTCGGCTGCGTGCGCACCCACCCCCCCCACGCCACACACACACACACACACACACACACACACACATACACATTTGTGTCTGCCCTCTCCCTCCACTTAACACCAGGCTCTATCCGTTACCTTGAGTTCCTCAAAATGTGAGTTGGCTCAATCACTCTGGGGGGTGGGTGGGTGGGGGGGGACCATTCTTTTTATCGATAACAGTATTATGAGGGCCCCCCTGAGCCCAGAAACACTTATTAGTGAAATATATGTGGAGGCTGATAGGGTGAATGCACTGTATAATATCTTTTCATAATAATATTCAAGGCTGCCGTCATTAGGAACAAGAAGGTCGAATTATGACATTGCCCCCTCCCACGTCACACCCCCTAACCCCCTAACCCCTTCGCTGGAGTAGCAGGGAGGTTTGCCGGCAATGTCCCTCCCCAGTAACTTGAGATATGAGGCAAGGAAGATGATGAGGTCCAGTCAGCTACATGCTTTGGCAGATGGATTCGTCTGGCAGATACCCCCCTTCTTGTTTAGTGTGTGCTGGGGGGGGGGCGGCGGGGGGGCTTACTTGGCAGTTCCCCATATCAAAGACTGCTAATCAAAAAATTGTATTATTTTTTTTGCATTGCATGTCTTTCATGTGCATATGCAAATAGGGCCGGTCGCCTTTCAGTGCTTAGTAATTATCTTTATGAAGGACAGCTGTAATGCATAATTAACAGGAGGCTTTACAGACTCCTCACGCTGAAATTTAAACAAAGGACACTTGTGTGTTTACAGAAGCTCCAGCACAGTTTACATTTCAATATTTCTTACTGTTGTTTCAGCATCGTCATCCCCTGTCTGTCTTTAATTCCTTATTATTTATTTATTTTGAATCCAGTCACGAGTGCTTCCAGTGTCCTTAAATACCCAGAATGCCTCAGCGTTTGATCGCACTGCCCCCCTTCTAGAGCTGAAGGGTGAATGAGTTCCTCTTTACTTCTAGGAAACTTCCTTGGGTGGTACTTGGGGGTGTGTGTGTGTGCGGGCGGGTGTTTCAATCTGGAATATTTCTAAGGCCGTAACACAGCGTTAGGGCACAGGAGTGGCTGATGGTCGCTCTCTTTGGGGCCTGTTACCCTCGCTTCAGTTGGTACATGCAGCTTCATGTTACACCTCCTTCATGTCCTGTCTGAGCTGAAACACCGGCCCCGAGCTTTGAGCGTTCAGACTGCCCCCCGCTCCCCGTCCCCCACCTGCCCCGTGTCTGACCTCTACCACTCACCGGCCTTTAACGGGGGAAATTGACCATGTGCACCCTGGACATAGTCTACTCTTGCATGTGCCATTTAATTAACCTGGAGAGGTTTCCTTAGGGGAACACAGACTTTAGGCATGATTATCGGATTATAATGCCTGTGCAGAGACATTCCATCCATCCATCCATCCATCCATGCATACATACATACATACTTCTTCAAATTTCACACACACAGAGGGGGCAGAGTTTGCACCCCCATCCCTTGAGGTGTGAGGTTTTATTGGCCCTGGGCTCTTTGCATTGGGACTCTCCTTCTCTTCTTCTTGGTCGGGGTCTGATGTCTCTCTCGCTCTCCATCTCCCCCCACAGGTGGGCTTTCGTGATGAAGAAACACCTAAGCACTCACCTCCTAGGCAAGCACGGCGTGGGGCGACCCAAAGAAAGGTGAGCACTTCTGTGGGGGGGGGGCATCGCCCGTGCCGAGAGCGGCCCCCCACCAGTACAGCCAGCCGACATGCAGAATGAGTTCATCGCCCTTCCCTCATCGGAAGGTTTCTCTCTATGCTGTTGTATTCAGGGCAAACTTGATAAGTTACCTTGGAAATACACGTAGGGTGTCTTTTGGGAAATGGGTTTTTTTTTGTCTAAGGATTGCATTCCATTTAGATTTTAATTAAATTCTTAAGTGAACAAATTCAAATGGGAAAAACACGATAGAGGACAAGGCTGATGGGTTTCCGTCAATAGTGAAAATCACTGACAGATCTAAACGGGACGAGAGATTTCAATACCAAGGTCAGTGGCTCAGAATGGAGAAGATTCTTCTGGTGCTGCCCTGTAATGGAGCTGGACGGAGGTGTGTTCTGTGTCTAATGTGTGTCTGAGTTTTTATATATAAATAAAAGTATATAAAGTTCAGAAAAATTGGAATTCAGAGCTTACTGTGCTCTGTATTAAGAAACTGGCAAAGCCCTTCATTGTTGTTCAGTTTTCACAGGTGGAACAGTTAAGTAGATGTATTTAATTTAACCAGAAGACAGAAGTGTGGCTGTGTGTGTGTGTACGCATGCGTGTATGTCTGCATGTGTGTGTGTCTGCACTCCACGGTGTGAATAATTTATTGCTGTCAAAATTGGATGTGAAGGCCTGTAAATGTGAAATGTTTTTATTCAAATTAGCCGGCATCCTATGTTTTTATGATGAAAAGTGTTCCTCAGATAAGCTTGTGGTAATGATACAGCACTTCCTAGTGTTAGGACTGCCGCGATTGCGGCGCGTCGTTTGAGACTGTCACCTTCCTGTGATTAGAGCGACGCGTGTGAAAGTGGTGTTTTATTAATAATGGATTCGTATAGCTGTGCTTATGAATTCAATGAAGCGAACGATGGGGTCCTCATGGATTCTTCTACGCTTCTCAATGAGGACACGGTAAAACGAAAATGCCAAAGAGGGCGTACTTTTGCTGCCCGTCGCCGTTAATCTGCTCTGGAAAATGGGGGTGTGCGTTCCGCGAGGTCCCAGATTAGCGGGTGAGCTGACAGGCAGACGGCCCAGTTGTCTGAGGTCTGATCCGCGCCAGCCGAGCGTTCAGGCTGAGTCAGCTCACGTTTGGTGTGGATGCTGAGTTTACGGAAAAACTGTGGTGCCGGGGGCGTCTGTCTGTGGGATCAACGGACCGAGAGCCTTATATGGCCCTCTCACTGTCCCCCCCCCGCTATGAGCGGGGCATCGAGGCAGTGCTCAGAGGACGGCGCAAAGCTGCCAGCGTGCTGCAGCCCATTTTATTTTTAAGCCGAGGGGTTCAGAATACCAGTCAGACTCTTTACATGTTTTTGACATATGTCTCTTCAAAACGGAGAGAGCCAAAAAAAGTTGCTTATCCTGTTATAAAAGGACGTTAGGGTGGTCATTCAAAACAGGGGCCCCATCTGGTATCCTGAAGGGGGCATTGTGGTTATGAAATGTGACCGAGAGCATGATGCTGGTCCGATAATCCCAGTAACAGACCCTCAGAGAGCAGCTCTGTGATTCGGAATAAATCAGTGGGTTTAAATCGGTGGCAATGTGCATTTCAGTGTTTTCAGAAGTAGAAGAGGAAAAAACTCGTTTTTCTCTCCGAAATGTCAACCAGGCCTCCTGTAGTTATATTCAGTTTGTTCATTAGCAGCTGTGGATGATGACTTGTGTTGATTCATTTGTAATCTTGTAACTTCACTCTTCACAACCATCTATGGATGTAGTTAACCAGTTAGCTCCTAGAAGTACATTAAGTCAACCAATAAGCACCTAATAACCGATGCCATTAACCAATGAGCACCCAGCAGTGGAAACTCTTAACCAATGAGCAGGACTGCCCGCGCCCACTTGGGGTTAGGCGTATCCTTGCAACCCTAGTTGGTCGCCATAGAGATCAACACACCACGCGTCCTGCACTCCCCGCAGCCACAGTCAAGCTCGGTTCATATTGACTTGATTTGTCGTCTGGGTTTGGGACAGTGGAGAAGCCTTCCGTGCTGAATCGTACTGGAGATGCAGACCAAGGCTTTAACCCAATCCAGGTCATGAAATTCGGTCCACGTTCATGTCGAATTCAGTCAGCACAGATAGTGCCTTTTTCACACAAGCTCTCATTTCTAAAAGGTGTGATGCGGGGGACGAGAGGGTAGGAGGTTCCCCCCCTACCCCTGCATGGGTCCCGGTTTTGTCATAAGTCCCTCCCCCTTGGAGACAGATTTCCGAGATTCACAGCATCCATGAAAAGATATTTCAGGAATTCCAACTGCTTCTCATTTTTCTTAACTTGGCAAAAATTGATGCTCTGAAAATATGCCTTAATTAATATGACGGGAGCCCGTAGATTATTAATAACGAGATTCTGCCATATGTTCACTGTGAAGCTACATGTATTATTAAGCAAATTCCTCTGTAAACTGTTAATTAATACTTGTTTGAATCAAAAATAAAGATTAGTTCTGGGATGTGATTAAACCTTTTTAAGGAACAATTAACATTCAGTTTAAGCAATTAGCTGCCTCTCAAATTTGAAACTGTCTCATTATGTGCTAAAGTACACAGTGAAGGCCTTTGGCCAGTGCGGGCCGTGCTCACGTTGCCACGGAGACCCGCGCAGTGACCACCCAGGCGCAGTGGATCTCAGCCTCCCCCCGGGGTGGAGTCCCTGCGTTTCCTTTTCTGGACAGTCAGGGTTCAGTGCTCAGAGAAGGACGTCCATCCCCACCTGACCGCAAACACTGGAAAACCAGATGTCCTCCTTTTTTCTGCTTAATAGGAAGAACAAAAAGCCAAGGATGACTTTGAGTCTCTTTGTTTGCATTTGTTTTTGAATTTTGGAGGTTTCAGATCATTAAGCAGATTAAATATAGGGAGCAGGAATTAAAAGGCAGTTCACACTTATGTGAGTAGGTGGGAGTACAGATGTACAAGGTCTGTGGATAGAAAGAGAAGATGTTTGTCTTTTGATAGACACCCCATGTGTGTTTGTGTGTCCCACAGCAGGCTGGGATGGTGTCTCCCGCAGGGCGTCGGTACAGCCCCAGTAATATGCTGATGGGCTGGGGCGTGGCTGGACCGCATCCATTACCACGGCGACGCAGCCTGAAGCTCAGGATCGTGGTGGGAGGTCGCGGATAGGGAGCCGCAGCTGCCCAGTGCTCGGCGGGGGGGCTCATTTTCTGCGAGGCCCCCCATGTTTCGCTGGACCGGACGGACTGAACCGCAGAAGAGCCTTGTGGGAAACTGTGAACTGTGTGTGAAAATAAAAGCGGTTTATATAGTTCGGGTTGAGTTGATGCTCTTGTCGAAACAGCTTCTGTTTTATTTATTTCTTTTTCGTGCAGTGAGGTGTTTGTTTTGGGGCCGTCGCAGTTACGGCTTCCCGCATGACTCTCGTTCACCGACACCTTGCACCCTGCTTCTCTGGGGGAGAGCTGTGGGTCGATCGTGTAACCCTAGAGCGCCAAAGCTCACGGCGGCGAGGTGGGTGAGCGCCCGCGGGGGCATTAAGGCTGCGAGCGTGCGGTGCAGTTCACCATGCTCTGTCAACGGGAGTGTGTGCTTGTGTGAGAGAGAGAGAGAGAGATTGCATGGATGAGGTCGTGCATCAGATAGATTTGTGGGGATTTTTCCATCTTAATGTAATTTCCAATCCCTCAAAAGTCAGAAACCTTCAAATTAAAAGTGCACAGAAAGTTTAGTCACTCTTCAGTGTTTTTTTTTTAGATATTTGTCTTGCAGGGTCATCTCTGCCAGATCTGTTTTTGCATTTCGCTGCGTTCAGCTAAACACAAACACACCCACCGTCCTCCCACACCGTGCACACCCCCGCGCTATAGCAGGGGGGCACGCGCCTTTCCTGACCAGCGGCCGGGTCACACTAGCTAGTGCTCACGCAGCGTCCCGGTCCTCGCTGGGCGTCCGGAGGGGGGCCGTCTGCACCACAGCACTGCTTAAATAGGCAAAAAACACCGTGTCATCACATTCCAGCAGCCCCCCGGACACGGAATTCATCTTATCATTAATTAACCATCATATCTGCAGCACAGCGCTGGTTAATTAGCGGAAGGTCGTCCGGGAGGGATTATTAGGTGGAACAAATCCGGGGAATGTTGGAGAAAGCGTGCAGGCTGATAGGAAGCCCCCCCCCCTACCTGAGAAGGGCCGTTTGTTGATTGATGACTGTATCCGTTTGAAAGCTGGACCCAGAGGACCAGAGCAGGCGACTGGGGGGGAGTTGGGGGGGGGTGTTTATTGCAAACATATGCTGGGTGGTCAGTGAGGGGGGAGAAAGATGGCAGGACGGCCTCATCATGAGCACCACCTCCCTCATCCAGCCAGAACATCAAAGATCTGTAAAAAAAAACACGAGAAAAAGCAAAGCAGTGGTTCCCTTGGACTTGGGCGGGGCGGGGGCCCGGGGCGGGGGCCCGGGGCGGGGGCCGCTTGGCCTTCTGAATGTCGCTCCCTTCTTCTACAGGCAACTCTGCCTTGTGTTACTCTAACTGGACGCGACAGCACCAGTTTGCTCCCTCGATAGCATAGCAGCTGTTTCATTCTACGTCTTGACAGTTGTGGCCTCCAGAGAAACCCTGTCACGTGACAATCGCCAGCCAATGATGGGCTGCCGGGCGCAGACCCCCACCCCCGCACCCGACATGACCCATCTGGCTCACTATTGCATTATGGGAACAGGGGGTTGTGGAACGCACATAAGCTAACATTTTAACTGTTTGCCTTCCCAACTGACAGCCTTGACCTTGTTCTAATAGAATATAATTTAAAGCAATTTGGAAGAAGCTGACAGAATGAATTATTAGAAACCGGAGTCTTTCATGTCTTGTGTTCTTAAATAATTGTGAAAATACCTGCCATTAGATCCATTTTCACGCTGTGGTAATAAATGGTTTGAACAAACAGCCCCCTCTGCC